CATATTTTCTATCCTGATACAAATCATTATAAATCATTGAATATAAACTGATTATGACACCATTCAACTTGTTCCTCAGTAGTGCAGCAGATCTTCTAAGTCTAAAAAACCATTTGATGTAAAAGAACATGTTCGTAAGAAAGTATTAGGTGATAATTATCCGAGACCCTCTGAATGTATTTAACAGATGGAGGTGCACCGCTGAGTGTTGGTGCAGGTATCGGACGCCCGGTCATTTTACGAGCAGGGGAATGATGTGTTTAAAGTGTGAGAATACGATTTACACAGGACTGTTAACGCACCACGGAGGATGCTTGTGCTGCAGATGTGCCCGTAATCATTTTATTGTCACCACAGATGCACTAGCGGGTAAGACGGAGTCAACCAGGACATCACAGCTGGACTCATCACTGTACGTCAGCACAACTTTTCATGCCATTTTCTGTTCCACTACATCTCATATTCTACTTTTGTCTTCACTACATTTATCCGATGGCTTTGGTTACTTTACAAATCATATTTTTTTCTACACAAAACAAATCAAAATTTCAAAAAATGTGGTGTTTTGTTATAAATGACACAAAGCAACGGTTTATTAAAGTTGAAACAATGAGTCGATTATTCCGTTTTAAAGATGTGTTAAAGCCCTAGTGATGGTGTTTTTTTTACTGTTTTCTGAATTTTTACAAACCAAACATCACAAAAACAATAAATGGAGAAAATAATTAGCAGTTAATTACATAATGAAAATGAGCAAAGTGAAGTAAAATCCCGTTTTTACATTAATGTAAGTATTAATGACGTAACAGCACAGTACAACAGTCAAAGGGGACATTAGTTTTAATACATGTATGTACAAGTACATTTGCAATCCTAAGAGAAAGTTTCGTGTTTTGTATTAAAATGTTGCATCCACACTTTTAAATGGAGAAATAATGAAATGACCTTGTGGATGATCTTTAAAATTATTTGAAATGAATAAAATATATTTAAAAAATCCCTCCTGGGTCATTCCATGATAAATAAATGAGTGCCTCCTGCCTGACCTCCCCAGAATCAGCAGATTTTTTATTTACAATATATTTTGTATATTTAATGAAGCCATGCACATGTTTTAACCTTCATATCATTAATATTTTCAGAGTTAAAATTCTCATCAACATTTTAGCACTTTTTAATTTGCGTTGTTTTTACCAGAGCTTCTATAGCCTTCTAGGTAAAGTGTTTTAGTACAATTTAGTGCTAAAAAAAAAAACTAATTTGAGCTCTGTTAAAAAATACAACCAAATTAATTTTACATCCACTCCTGGTGTCACAATCTAAAGCCAAAATATCTCATTTTTGTTCAGCTACATTTTCCCTCTAACTAACTTTGAGCATCAGTATCGTGGGATGTGTCATAGTTTTACCAGCAAAACTGCATCAATCGAATATCTATGATCAATGGTAATAGAAACAGACATTGGTATCTCTGATGTGTATTTATTTTCTGATTATTCACTGGAGAGATCTTTATAAAGTGCATTTTCTTCTCTTCTATTCTTCTAATGGTCATATCACCGTGTAGGATAAATGGTTGGTCAGAGCACGTTACAGCATAACAAAGGTCTCATTTTGACCTACATGTTGATACAAGGCTGACCTACTCGTCATGATTCCTTCTGTGTCATTACAGTTTTATAATATAGTCATATTTGTCACATATTAAATTGATCGATTGATTACAGGAAAAATTATGCTGATTAAAAACAAGACTTTGGCTTTTGATTGTAGATGTAAAATTGATATATTTGCACTTTCTAGCAGAGCTTAAATGTGTTTTTCATCCCAGAAGATTCCATGTCTCTTATCTAATGGACCTATGAAGTCACGAGAGCTTCAGAAAGGTTGGAAAAAGTAACACAAACTAAAAAAACAGCCTAAAACTTGAATCCACTTCTTTGCACTTCGAGGGCCTGTAACTCCGAAAATATTCATAGCGTGAAGGTAACATTATGCATGGCTTAATTAAATATAATAAAGTTATTGTGCATAAAAATGTCAGCTGATTTTGAGCGGGTCAGGTGGAGACTTCTTTTTTTTAGCAGATTTGGCTGATTTTATATGGAATTACTCTTTTTTTTAGAGCCTACGAGAAGCTGGAAATATTCGGCAACCTCTGGTGCAAACATGGAAGGACAGAGGTTTATTTATTCCTCGTATTTTTTATTTTCTATTTATTATTTTTATTTTTTTATAGTTTTATTTTATTGCTTATTCATAAAAGGGAGCTGGAAATATTTGATGACAAATGCAAAAAATACAAAATGCAAAAATGCAAAGATATTAATAGCATGAAGGTAAAATGGCTTAATTAAATATACTGAGGCTATTTTATGTTCATGCAATCACCCTCCTTTGAGCTTATAAACAGCTGAGATTATTAGATGACCTCTAACATGGAAGGGCAAGGATGTATTATATTTTTTAATTTTTTTTCCTAATGTACTAATTTTTTGCATTTTATTTTATTTCTTATTGATCAAATCTAAGTGTCTTTCTCATGTGAAATTCCTTGCATGTGAGGTGTATTGTTATGATCTAAACGCCGTGCTATTTTTAAGTCACCATAAAAATACCCCTGCTGTGTGGGAGACGCTCCGCTGAGCTCAGCAGTTTTACGACAGCAGCGGCGGACTTACGGCGCCGTTACGTCACACATTGCTCAGCAGAAGAAACTTGTGGCTGCAGATGTGCAGTCCGGGATTAACGGAGCCGGCGCGGACTGGTAAAGCACCGTTTGACCTTTTATCCTAATGCGTGCGTGCTAAAGAACCTGCTGCTATGCGTGTGTGTGTGAACGCGCGTGTGTGTTTAACCCGGGATTTGGTCGCTATCGGGTGTGAGCGCGTCCACGTTTCTCCGTGACGCCCACTTGCATAAGAAGCCTACAGGCTGCTGCTGCTGCTGCTGGATCGATGGAGGTGTTTGTAAAAAGATCCGCTTGTTTGTGTTTACGGGCTTTAACGCTCCGGTCACGTGGCTGTCAGCGAATATTACATGTTGGTAATAAAGAGCAGAAATGGTGATCAGTGTTCAGCAGCGTGTTATCACAGCTGCCAGGCCTCAGCAGTGTGTGTGTGTGTGTGTGTGTGTGTGGGTGTGTTTCCCTCAGATGGAAAACACAGGACGTCATGAAGGAGATTGACAGTGTGGGAGCGGACAAAGATGAGCAGTGGTAAGTCAGCAGACTAATTATGGATTTTTAATTATTTAGGTATTTATTTATTTTATTTATTTATTGAGAAATAGGATCATCAGGATCATTTACTACAGTTTATAACAATTTTCTTACTGTTTATGACTGTTTTGGATACATTATTAATTATAAAGCAGTTGGATTTTTTTATATATAATAGTTTGGATTTTATAACAGCTTTTATTATTTTTGTGAAATTACATAATAAGCTTACATTTAAATAAATGTTTTAATTAATTTAAATGTATTTAAATAAAATATTTATTATTTATTTTCCTTAAAATCCCTCTTTTGTTTGTTTTACTTTAAAAACAACAATGTTCATTTATTATTTTTAAAAAACAATATTTAGATAATTTTGGGCAAATTGTAAAGAAAAAATAATAATATTTGTTTTAAAGATACAAAAGCTTAAATTTATTGAACATTTTATGACCTTTTTTCTGTAAAACATTATCAACAGAGCATTTTATATATAATCATTTTATAACAGTTTTTATTGTTTTTTGTGAAATTAAACAATAAATAAGCTTAAATTTAAAAAATGTTTTAATATAATTTTAATTATTTTAATTGTATTTATTTAAATAAAATATTCATTATTTGTTTTCCTTAAAATCCCTCTTTACTTTTTTTTTACTGTAAAAAAAATGTTAATTTATTATTTTTAAGAAACAATATATTTGGATAATTTTGGACAATTTGCATAAATATTATTATTATTATTAATAATAATAATAATAATAATAATAATAATAATAGTTTTAAAGATAAAATTGTTTGAATTTATTTAATACTTTATTACCTTTTTTCTGTAAAACACAATCAACAGAGGGGTTTATATTTTCTAATAGTTTTTATATAGAATCTACAGTAAGGCGTCGTACTCTGTCAGATTGTCATATATTTGCATCCATTTAGCTCTATAAAGTCAGCTTTCCATGAGCACACAAGAACAGTTCTGTGACGATTTCCAGCTAATAGAACAGTTGCTTTTTTTTTTTTAAGGAATTTATTTATCTTAAGAATTATTTTAAATTCAGAATCGCCACATTGAAGGACACATGGTTGTCACTGAACAGAAACGGTATAAAACACTCTAATCATGAAATTAATTAAGCTGTCGGATCGATTTAGTGGAATAAAAGTACAATGTTTAGCCTTGAGATGTAGAAAAGGAAAAACAAAAAGTTCCATAAAGTGAAAAACTTAAGCTAAAGCACCTTGAAGTACAGTAACAGAGTAAATCTACTGGGCTACATGCCAGGTAGTAGTAATATGTGTGAATTTGACTGAAGAAGAGCATCTGCTGTTTGAACTCATCACTGCGAGCCACTGGACGATAAACTGTGAACCTGCAGGCTGGATTTAATGAGAACGACAAGCAGCTGCTCACCTCTGTGTCTCTTAAAGGGTTGTCACTGAGAGAAACGATGAGGAGGAGGTTCCAATAAGCCGCACTTTCTCGGTGGAGGACCTCCTTGATGAGGTGGAGAAGATCTGTTACGATGCCTCAGGGACTTCAAAGGTCAGAGGCGCTTTCACCTCGCTGTGTATTATCTGCGCTAAAGTCCATTTAACACTGGAGCTGCAACGATTGATTGATTAGCCGTCAACCATTAGATTAATCGCCAACTACTTTTAACAACCGATGAATCAGTTTGAGGAATTGGTAAAGAAATGGAAGTCAGATCTTCTGATTCCAATTTATTTTCCGGTTTCTTTGCTCCTCTGTGACAATAAACTGAATATTTTTGGGGTTGTGGACAAAAAAATAAACATTTGAGGACGTCATCTTGGGCTTTTGGAGACACTAATGAATGCTTTCCGCCATTTTTAAGACCAAACGACTGACTCCTGCCTTTGCTCCAGGTGGAGATGGTGGTGAGGCTGTGGAAGGACGGCTTTACCGTCAACGATGAGGACTTTCGCAGCTACTCGGTGCCAGAAAATCAAGATTTCCTGGATGCCATTAAAAGAGGGTGAGTTTAATTGTCTGAGCCAGAAAATCCTTTGAGTATTAAAGGTGTATTAAGTAAGATTTCGCTGCCTTAAAGCACAAAAGGATCCTCACTTCTTAAGCTCTGGTTTGGGCTTTTAAATTAATATTGGTGTCTCAATCAAATGACTCCAACAAGTGCAGACCGGCTAGAAAGGATTGTTGCAATAAGCTGATATTAAAGGGCGTCTTGTTCTCCAGCCAATGGAAAGCACTCAATGTACCTGTGCTGCTGTATTAATGCTACATGATTCATGACAAAATTATAGTCACAGCTGTTTTGATCAGTGTTGAGATCACGGTTATTTATCACGATGATGCACTGATTTTAAAGCACTTTCATATTTAAATAAACAGATCACATCTTCTACTTCCACGCTATGCTAAATTCCAGGTAATGTTCAAAGTTGCATTAAAATAAGACTTGAAAGATTCTTCCTCTGAGTTCAGTGCACCTCCACGAAGCAAAAATATAAATGTAATTGTACCCAAATGCTTTATTTGGTTGCTCATCTGCATATCTGTAGACACTACGATTTAACCAGTGTTCCCTAAATGCCTCACATGCCGGCTACGGTAGATGCTAACTAGGTAGCTGTGCACATAGAAGCTTCTAGTCTCCACTTAGTTACAGCAACACTCAGACTGGTTTATGACCAACAATTACTGTGAATAGTGGCACATAAGGGGTTTTAATATCAGATTTACCTAAGCTGAAACTAGAGATGCACAATATATCGGCGACCACATCGGTATCGGCCGATATTAGTGTTTTTTCCCATATATCGGTATCTGTCCTATGAACAAATTTAGCCGATGTGAAAAACCGATGATCGCCTAACATTTGATATTGCTGCTATTTCACAGATGTTTTTACTTAAATGGTCCTGGACTTGAATATGTTATAATATGTTTTACTTTGTTACGTAATAAAGAAGACTATGTGGGCTAATTTGGACTTCTTTTGAATAGTTTTCTCACAGTGCTTACTTATACTCATTTTTCAACAAAAATGTAATATCGACATCGGTAATATCGGTTATCGACGATATCAGAAATCTTGATATCGGTATCGGCCAGAAATTTTAATATTGTGCATCGCTAGTTGAAACCAAGTGATTTCATCTACGTGGACTGTTTTCTGTACGTGAAGTTTTTTCGACATCAATATTGCAGGAGATAATGTTAAATGTAGGAAGCATATTCATAAATGTTTAAATAATTTTGAATAATCAAGCGCTATTATCGATGACTAATCAAGCAAAAAACAGGAACGTTTAGTTGCCTGGCATCCGATTAACTTTGAATCCTTTGGGCGCTTTGTGTTTTAAAGGCCACGCAGGTCAGAGGCCATGTTTGGGTTTGAAATCATTTCTGTCCTCGGATCAATTCATCAGTTTGCTCTTACACTCAAACCCCATTAGTCTCCTGAGAGGAGCCCAGCAGTAAAGATGTCCCTCCTACGGATCGCCAGCAGGCGACTCAGCATAGATAAAGCGTAGTGCTCATTAGTGCAGCTCGTTTGTCATATTGATCGATCTGACTAGACTCCAAACCTGATCTTTAATCCGTCTCAGGGAGCTTCCGGCGGAGTGGGAGAGCAGAGCCGAGGAGGAGGAGCTGGAGATCAGCGTGGAGGATCTGACCGAGGAGAATTATGTCCCCAAGAAGAAGGCCTTTCACCCCTTCAGCGGCCGAGGATACCGCCTGGGCAGGTGAGAGGCTGTTGCTGTGAAGGTTATGAGCTGCGACAGTGTGGGCGGTGTTGTTTTCGCCTGTTTGGCCCTGAAGACGCCGACGGTCACAGGAAGCACGTTTCCAGGTGTTTGTGCGTCTGTCTGGATGTGTGTGGACAGGTGGTGTCAAAAGAGACAGTTTGAGAAGGTGTCACAACTGTGCAAAACGTTCCAGGTGTGCAGCTGGGATCAAAATGAAGGAGAGTTCAAAGATAGGTGTGGTCCAACCTTGATGAGCAGTAATGCAGTACAGTTAGACTATGTTTTACATCCATGTCCTGCATTCCTTTTCATCATGGATCACCTGAAATATCACATTTTCCAGCTGCTTTATCACCAAAATGTTCATTGTTTCCAAGAGTGAGGCTGATTCTCTGGAGACCCAACGGCTCAATACAATGTTGGATGACCCCAGTGGATACGTAGGTTATTTCAGCTTGATGGTCGGCCGTATTTATTGGTCGTGGAGTCCACGGACAAGGAGTTCAACCAAATGGAAGACGACAAGACGTCCTGAAAAGCAGCATATTTTAGGAAACTGGTGATTAGTGATGTAGGTGGGATGAGCTAAGTGGAGAACATCACAGGTTTGGGAAGATCTGGTAGAAAAATGACAAAGGAGCATTTAAACAAAGTTCTTGTTCTTGCAGTAGGTAAGTGAGACCTTCCGCACCGTCTTCCCTTTTCAGACTATCACTTAAAGCAAGTTAATTCTGTCTCTATCCGTGGATGCAACATGATGTACAGTTCGTCAAATCTTTGCGGGTCCACGTGCAACCTAAAAGTTGTGACCGTGTGGACTGTCTGTACTGCCAGCGTTTCTACTTTGCCAGAAAAACAAGTGGCGCTTAAAACAAATGTTGGCTCTAAGGAGAGACGAGGAGATTCTTCATCATCCACACCTTCATCATTAATAGTCATAAGTCGCTGGAGGACTTCGGAGGTGCTTTGATTTGCTTTCCATCGTTGGAGCCCAAGCACAGTAGAGTCTCTTAAAGTCTAAAGACACCTTGTGCCGTGTACGTCCACTGTGCTTGACAGGCCTCTGGAATAATCACATTAACACGATGCTACAGCGTAATCTGCCACCAGCTGCTTTATCCCCTTGTGACCGTCCGCGTAGCAGACCGACGTGGACTTATGTAGCATGAATAGAACGGCGTCCAGATGTGGAACGGTCGATGAAACCGTTGCTACAGGGAAGCAGTTGTTTTTGCTGTTACCTCAACAGGGTCTGAACAGGAAGCTCGCCACAGACTGACTTATAGAAGCAAACACCTTTTCGACTGGTATAGAATCAGCAGGCAAATCGGATTCAGAAAAAATACTTCAGATGTTTGGCGACTTTGATTTGAGATGGAACGACCCATGTGCATTGTTTTCTGTCATGTTTCCTGGTTCAAAGCTTTTTTTTGTGAGAATCCTGGAACATGTGTCACACAACCACATATTTGGTTTTACAGAATTCCCCACAGGTTTCTATTCAGGGTTCCATAAATGGCGAGTCTCTACTTTATAACATCTCTAGTATTATATAGGCTACTACATGATTTTATTTTAATTTTTTTTGTATGTCATGATCAAATTATTGTCATGCAATGTTTGATAATGTACTTGTGGAGTTGGTCTGTCTCAAGTGTCCACACTCCTGCACCACCAGCTTCTACCATATGACTTTCCACCACTAGGTGTCCTCCTAAATCCAGATATGAAAAAAAAAAAAAACCCAACAACAACCCCAACAAAAAAGCCGCCCGCAAAAAAAAACCCGACAACGTTTTCACAGCATCACTGCATGAATACCAACAGTTCCAGAGAGTCCAGATAATACCTGGCAGGAGACTTTCTGTCCTCACACCTCGCCGTCGTCACAATGAGACAATTCACACTGCTCATGCTGTGCACATTTCTCACTGGTGGTTAATCTGTTTATTTATTTTTTGTCTTTATTTTATTCCCATCCATTCCCAGCGTTGCACCCAGAGTTGTGGCCAGGTCACCGTCCGTGCACGAGGATGGAGAATCTCCTCCTATTCCCATGGTAACACTAGACCACACCCTTCCCGTTACCTCGCTGCAGATCTGGTTGGCTGACGGCAGGAGACTGGTGCAGAGGTTTAACCTATCGCACCGGTGAGTGCCACCATCCCGCCTCGCATCTTCGACCTGACATCGAGCACAATCTGCATGCTGAAGGCCGGAGGAGTCGGTGCGAGGAATATCTCTCTGCTCCTGCTGCTGTGCTTCTCTGTAAATCCCATAATCTCAAGCAAAGCAGGAAAAGAAGTAGTTCAAGGGATGTTTGTTGTAGCTCTGGAGGTGGAAGCGGGAGGGAGGGGGTGGTGGTTGTTTTAGGATTACGTAATGCTTTGTTCTAGTGTGCCGGAGTTTGAAGGCTGAAGGCATGGTGCATGTTCTATCCCCTGCCACAGTGCATGGGGCTGCAGAAAACATAATCTGAGATGTAGCAACGGCGTGGATCTATAAAATCCCCAGAGAGGGATTGCGTAACTCTGATGCAGCATTTATATAACAGGGTTAAGAGCTAAAAGACAGCGAGGCCTGGACCCCTCCAACCCTCAGTGTGTGTGAGGGCTGCCATAGGATTGCTTGTATATGCTCGGGCCGGTATTAATAATAGATGATGTTACTAGTATAGTGCTTCAGAGGGAAATCACGTGTCACAATAGGGAGTAGAGTATTTGGTCTGGGAACGCTCTGCAGCTAAATGGGAGCAGACGTGTTCGACTGGGGGGAATATTTCTGCCTTTATTATGTTTTTTTTTCCTCGATCTTTTATTCATATTTCTTTTCCAGGATCGGCGATGTTCAAGATTTCGTGGCGCGCTGCCAGAGGAGCTGCCCACCTTTCGTCCTGACCACGTCGGTTCCCTTCCGAGAGCTCGGCGACAAAGAGCTGAGCCTGGAGGAGGCGGATTTGGCCAACGCCGTCATCGTCCAGAAACCCCTGAACACACAGGCGCCGTTCGGACACTCCTGACCAACAGGGCCGCATAAGAGTCACACAGCACGACACCGTTCCCCTCACCGACACACCACCACCCTGTCCCCCAATGCGAAATCCAAACCTCCCATAACCTGTCATGTCTCTTTCTTCACTAAAATCGTTATATATGGGTTCGTCCATCTCAAATCATCAGAGGCCGTCTGCTCGACCAAATCGGATTTGCCTGAAGATTTTTTAATGATGGATATTTAAAATTGTGTATGCAAACTTATAGATCCGTATATCAAACACTTTCCAAGATAGCTTGTTTTTTCTTTTTTAAACTTGTCGCTCGACCGACTTCTAGCAAGTTTTTTTACACCTTGAAATTTAAGGCCATGTTTGGATGACTGTTACACAAAAATCTCCTCCGAACCAAGGGTGATGCCTACAAAATGAGGGCCAAGATAAAAAGAAAATGCCCATATTACAAGATATTATTTTCTTACTTACATTTTGAAACTCCAGAGTTCTGTTCAACTTGAATTAGTCGATCTTTTGCGGTACAACTTGTCATACCAGTTCAATCCGCAGTGCAAGTTCAATGAAAATAACTTCTTTTTATTTTATTTTTGTGACCCAGTATTTCATTTTTAAAGTATCCTATAGGTTTTTGATTTGTACTATTAGTAGCTGTAGCTGCATATGGTTCAGAAAATATCACGAGTTGGCTTCTGCTTTTTATTGTGGGACATTTTTTTCATATTTCAACTCACCCATGATTAGAGGTTATTTGATCTACATTTTCCAGTATTGCCGATTCTGATTCAATGTCATGATGAGACACAACAGTGAAAATCTTCAGTAGTTCATGAGGTATTGTCATTCAAACACGGCTTCAAATTTCAATGTGTGAAAAAGAAAAACATGCTGAGAGTGAGTCGATAAGCAAGTACAAAAAAAACAAAAATCTCAGAAAGCGTTTGATATATCAAGCTAAAATCTCACAAATATCTTTAGAAATATCCATATTTTATGGTATAAAAATGTCGGGAAAATCAGAGATGGTCGAGCAGAAACTGTTCTAAAAATGAGATTTAAGATGGAACGACCGTTGTAGTGTCTAATTCGTCCGTGCAGATGAAAACCAGGTGCATGATAGGAACAGTGTTTCTGAACCATCCGTCAGAGGCGACGTTTTTGTTTCGTATCATCAAATGTTAGCACAGGACTTCCTCAACCCTCTGCTCACTTTCGCCGCCCGCAGTCTCCGTCCTGTCTGTGACCAGCTGACGGCGCTGAAGGAAGCACTCAGACGTTGTGCTTCAGTCAAACAGTGTAAAAATACACGTAGATGCTTTAAAAGCATCCGAATATACTCAGTGTACCAGAATTAAAGGTACTCATTATGCAGAACTGTCCATTTTAGAGTCACGTATACATTTAGATTAGATACCAGTAAAGGTGAAGCTGATTTTAATATCCACAGCTGGGTACATTTGTTGAATTTTCCCCTGCATGAAGATCAGTGAAGTTCCATTTTAATATAACAACAAGCTGATGCAGCAGAGCTTTCCACCTGTGATACATCCTAATCTATTTGTTATTTGTTGAATGTGAATATGCAAAGTTGTATTTGGCTCTGAGTTGTAGTGGAGTCACAGTATAAAGCAGCAGACATTTGAAATACTCAAATGCAAATACCCCAAAAGTGCACAATACTTGAGTAAATGTATTTAGTTACATTACAGCACTGCCTTCTGACCAGTTTGTAGAACTCACCGAGCATGTTTCAGCTCTTGAATGACGACGATGGCGACCCCTTCATAAAGCACGTCATTCATTACATTTTGTTTTTTCACTCTGGGTTTTATAACTGGTTAAAAACGACCTTTTGTGAGTTAATTTTTCACTTCCCCATCACTGAATGCTTTGTTACTCCATCCAGCTGCACGGGTTCCTGCAGTGCTGCACCATATTGGATTGAAAATGACAAAAACAAAACGCTGTCAGTGTTTAATTGCATTTGTCGGTTGCTGCAAAAACCGATGAGCACAACTCATGCAGCCAGTCTGCAAACATCAGCCACTGTTCTCCACATTCAAAGTCTCAAAATGCTTTCTCTGCACCTGGTTTTCATGTGCACGGGTTTCAGTTTTGTCCCGCCCTGTGTGGGATTAGCTAATAGAGATATTTTCACTTAACCAAGGTGCTGCCGAGGCGCTGTTGTCGATGTTTACTTTGTCTTCTTCTTCCCTGGAGGACAGTGTTTACCTGCCAACACACACACACAAAAAAAAACGCAAAAAAAAAAAAAAAAAAAACTGTGAATCCAAACCAGCGCTGTCGTTCGTGCAGATGGTCGACCGTGTGTCGGCCATCTGTCGGTCTGCAGCCAGCGACCCTCCCTCACCGCTTCACGCTCACCAACACCAAGCAAGTCTCGAAAGTCTTCCCGAAGTGTGATCACTACTTTCTCTGCACTATTTACAGCATAAATAAGGGGCTGATTGTTTTACGTTTACAATAATATATATATGTGTAAGGAAAATGTGATGTTTCGTTTGCACACTGTTAGGATATAAAAAGAAAAAGTATTTATGTTTGCCTGGATGTTTGAGTATACCTTTTTTTTTTAAGGGATTTGGGAGTTAAGAATGTAAAATGTATTGTTTTATTTGATTTAACCATTTAAGGACATATCACAAGCTCAAGGTATAATACAATAAATACTCCTCCTTAAAGTTATGCTTATTTTCTGTTTCATTTGTATGCAGATGATGTCTTTATCTACTGAAAACGGCTTGATTAGTGGTTTATCCTGATGAAAATGCATGTTTTGTGTGATTCATTCACCTAAAAAGTGACTAAATTCACACGTTTCTTACAGTTTACGTCCCAGGTTAGTTTCCCAGACAGCTTTGCATTACCAAAAAGGTAAAAATGTGGCCAGTAAAGTGATGGATTTCCATCTTAAACAGAGCAAATGATGCCTGAAAAGCACAAATCAATCATTTAGGGTTCAGAAGTTAAAGTAAAGACATTAAATTGACAGCAACCATGACAAAATGCTGCACTGTTTTGGCGGTGAGCGAGCCAAATCGTGTTGAATTTGATCACATTTTGAATCAATCACATTGCAATCAATGATTTAATCGCCTTGTTCTGTTCATTTTATACCTCTTACACCCCTCAGTTTTGTCTGGACTTTCCGTCTGGAGTTTGCGTGTCCTCCCGGTGCCCGCGTGAGTTCGACACCGAGCTTTATTAGTGCACCTTCGTTCATGTTGTAACACGACATCTGCGCTGTCATTACAGATTTAATGGGGATTGAGATTAAGGAGGGAGGCGGCATCCACTGATGAGGAATGATGGCTTCACAGTGGTGCTTGTTAAGGCACTTGGCATGAGAAGCGTTTATCTGATGGTATGAAGTGTAAACAGTGAGCTGTTGTGGCAAAACACGCAACATCAATCAACACGAGTGAACGGCGCCAATAGCTAACAGCGAATGAGGAGCATTTCTCCAGCACATGTCCAAAGCTAGACGAGGAAGACGGCATGAACTGAGCATCACATTTATTTAAAAAAAAGAACTATTTCACTTGTTTGTCACCCTTGTATCATGTACCAACTATGAGAGATTTGACACTTTTTGCAATTTAAGAACTACAAGATATTTTTGCGTATCGGTTCATTTCCTGCACATTTCCAGTGTTTTCACATAGTCAGCCTCGGTCATCATTTTTGACGAGCACATTCTGCAGTAAAAATGGAACAATGGAATAGAAAAGCAATTGTTTGACCAGGAAGAAACCTCTGTGACGCTGAAAAACTACTCCATGCGTGTGATACTTCTGTGCTCGGTCATAATTCCTCGTTATCAGGATCTCCCAGTGATGCTGATAAACCACATGCCGCAGTGAGAGTTACTGCCAAAAACAATCATATTTCTCCCACATTAGTTTCTCTTCAAGAATGGAATTTAAAACCCTTCTCCTCACACGCAAAGCTCTTAATGACCGAGCTCCATCGTATCTTAGAGACCTTATTGTACCATGTTATCCCAACAGAGCGCTTCAGACTCATGGATACTAGAGTCTCCAAAAGCAGATTGGAAAGCAGAGCTGTCTTGGATCAAACTCCCACTTTGGATTCAGCAGCAACATCGAAACATTTCTTTTCGACAAAAGCTTATAGGCGACCCTGAGCCATCCCCTTGTTGGGGTGCTTTACCTTCTTCTTTTTCATCCTCCATACATTTATATGCCACTATTATACATAACTAACTTCTCTCTCCTGTAGTTTGTCCTCTCTGCAGTTGTCTCCGGCTCTGGAGCTACATATTTTTGATCTGCAGTTGCCTCCTTGGTGGTTATCATTCTCCCCTCACCCCAACCAGTCGAGGCAGATGTCTGCCCTCCCTGAGCCTGGATCTACCGAAGGTTTCTTTCTGGTAAAGGGAAATTTTTCTTCCCGCTGTTGCCAAAAAACAAATGGAATCTTTTATAGTTGCTGGGTGTTTCTCTTTACTATTTTCTCTTTACTCTGACACATTGGGACATGGACACTAGATCTATTGGGGTGACCTGTCTTCTTTGGCATGAGGATGTTGGCGGCAGATCCTTGGGTTCCTGTGGGTTGTGAGATGGAGTCTCCATAGATCGAGGTTGTTCTGCTGCATCCCATTAGCACTTCATTCGATTGTAATCTGGATAGTTTGGATGCTGACCGATCTCTTTGTCGTGTTCCTCGAGCAGCTCTTGCAAGATGGTGGGATACATTGTCCTGTCGTGTAGAGTTACTGCCATTAGGGAGTCCTGTTGATATGAAGGGGTTTGCTTGATCTGGAACATCCAGATTGTTGTCTGGACCAGGGATCTCCAATTTTGGTCCTCGTGAGCTACTGTCCTGCAGGTTTTAGATGTTTCCGTACTACAACACACCTGACTCACATTAATGGATCATTAACAGACTTGTTGGAGCTGTTGGAGATCCATTAATGTGAGTCAGGTGTGTTGCAGAAACATCTAAAACCTGCAGGACAGTAGCTCACGAGGACCGGAGTTGGAGATCCCTGGTCTGGACCCAATGTTTCCCAAAAGAACATTGTCTTATAATCAGTGCTACTTCAGCTGCCAGTGGGATGAAGGTGGATGCGTTAAGGCGGAAACAGTCGTAGTAATCATTGGCCTGAGTCAGATGCAATGGGGTAAAGTTGACGTCTTGCAGAGTCTTTATCGACCCTCGAATCATCTCGTGTTTCTTAGCATGTGCAACAACATACGTGTGCTTCCACATGTGCCTGCTCCTCTGTCTCCCAGCATTCCGCCTGGCCTCGGGAAGAAGGTGAACACCATTATCCATCTTCAATATTTAAAGCGAGGTTGGAAGGGAGGGTGGGGGAATGTTTCTGCTCATAGCTGAGGAAGAAGACGAGCTGACAGCCTCGGGATAGTCAAGGTCAGAGGAAGAGAGTCAGCAGCAGCAGCAGCAGCAATGTTTTGTCCTCTCTGAAGAATCCTCCCGTGAAGGGGTTTACTGCACATTTAGGATTTCAGCCTGAACGTGCAGGCATCACTCTGGTTGGCAGCCAGAGGGGGTCTGACTAAAGAGTAAAAGAGAGCACATTTCCTTTGTGCTACATATTTAATAAGGCTAAGCATGCAGGGAATTACTTTCCCTTTAACTCCCACATTTCCTTTCAGAATGACCCTTTTACTCGCGCAGCAGCCAACCTTTCATTTTGCACATTCCTCTTCACGCATTATCGGAAACATACCCATTCTAATGCAGGTCATATGCCTGACTTTTCTGCGGTGGTGCCTTGGTCCTTGTCAATAATGTGGTTTTGGTTGAGGGGTTTGCATACTTGGAATTTATGGAGAGGTCTGGGTTCAGTAGCCGAGGTCTCCATGACATGTTTGTTGTCATGCTCTGTGAGAGGCTTACTGTGGAGAGTAAGCATCTTGCACTAAAAGAGCTGCTTATGAAAGTGCTTTGTGGGAAAGGCTCAATATATCATAAATCACAGACTGAAGAAGGGCCTATGAAAATAACATTTCCACCGTGTGTCGAACTGTAACACATTCCCCAAACAGACAAAAAGCTTTGCTTTCTTTTCGGGGTCAGAATGGTTTTATTTAACAGAATTTGAGGTCTCTTAAACAAAAGCTTTGTCTATTTTGGACTCTTTCTTCTCTTACAGGTCAGGACTGTAGAGACAGATTGCTGAAGGCTGAAGTCTTTGAATCAAAATTTACCAAAGCTTAAACTAGAAGTGCAAAATGAATGCAGGTTTGCTAATCTCAGGTGATTACTTGGCTTGGACTGGTTTTTGCCACAAAACTTTACCATTTCGTAAAAGCTGCTTTCCCCACTATTATGAATTGAGGTAATTAAGCTAATTTGAGAACTTTACAAAATAAGTAATCACAATGCAATATTCGTGCTCGTTAGATACACTTCTTGCGGTAAATAGCCTGAGAGACCTGCTAATTGTGATGGTGATTAAAGGAAATGTTTTTGTTGTGCAAGCAGCAACCTCCAGGAGTGCCAGAAACTGCAGTTCCTTAAATGGCCACTTGAGGCTGCCTCCAAAAGTGAGTCAAACCCCATAGACCCCTATGTTGAAATGTCCAACTTTACAGTACAAATAAACACCTTTACAGCCTGATGCAAAAACTATTTTGGTTTCTACAGCTGAGTTCCAAGTCCATGATACCTGTATAGGAGTGGATTTTTGTAAAAATGTACCCGTTGAAATTATATCGAGGCTTAAAGTTTTGCTAAATTAGGGGCGTGGCTGCTTTGATTGGCAGCTGGAATGCAGTCATAGGACAATTTAGGGCTCTCCTTACCTTCCCTAATGCTTCATGTCCTTGCTTTTTTTTTTTGGAAAAAAAAAAGAGAATTGTTGGACCAACTTAAATCAAGTCATTCACAGTTAAAACACGTTTGTCCAACTAAAGCGGACGAATAACATTATTGCCACTGGTTTAGGTTAAGTCCACTTAAATCCTTTGATTACTGAAGCTTAATTTTAAGGAACGTCAACTTCAAGTTTCTCATTTTTCAAACTTGAGTTTTTGTTTAACCCAAACGGAAAATGTAAAACATAGAGTTACCGTTCTGTCCTTTTCTTTACTCTGTAATCCTAATCGAAAAGAACATGGCAGCTGAGTTTTGGCAGAAAATTTTGAAGACGTGTGGATGTGAAGGACCAGTTTAAAGGAACAAAGTGTGTTTTAAAGTTGACAGAATCCATCCATCCAAGCTGTGTGAGGATTTTGCGTCGGGAGCTTACTGAGGACTAAAAGTCTGGATGTCTCGGCTTGTGCTGCTTCAATTTTGACCATTGTCTGAGTAATCTGTCTCTTGTGAGTCTCAGCTTTATGAAAACATAATATCGAATCACTGGAGCGTCCCTTTAAGTAGGATAAACCTGCTGCACATGCACACACTGAGACATAAGCATTTACTCCACTGCTGCATTTAAGCGGTGATTCTGATGTACTTGCACGTTACTTGTGCTTTTCAATTGTGTGCTACATTATCATTCCACTCCATTACCCTTCAGAGAGAAATATTCTACATTCTACACCGCTACATTTATCTGACAGCTTTTATGAGAGGAGGATTTCACACAACGATCCTTGGAGAGTCAGTAAAAGACGATTCGACTTCTCTTTTAAGTTCGTGAAGACGTTTCACTTCTCAAAGACGAAAAATCTACAAGAGAAATCTGGTTGCTTTTTGTTGAAGCTCCTATGTGTGGTGATTGCCATGACCTGGAGGGCTGAGAATCGACGTAACACGATGGATAACAACACACACAGTTACAGATTAAACCAGTGGATTCTGACCTTTTTTGGCTTCTTGCTATGTTAATGAGTTGGAACGGCTCCACCAAAATATCTCACTTGGTTTAAGAAATATTCAGATGATCCAATATCTCAGCAAATATCAAAGATTAGAGAAAGATTCCAAGCAGATTTGGGCATGTTGTTCTTCTACCAGTAACATGCTGCTGGCCTTCACGAAAAACAATCTAGTGATGGCACACTGAGTAGGACTTCTACTGCAAATACTTTAGCTACTGTTTGTGCCGCTTAAGTTTTCATGCACTTGAAATGAAGTGTTTTTACTTTGTTGTGTTTGACTCAAGTGAAGGATCCAAATACTTCCTGCACCACTGGTTCCTGGAACATCAAAGTTGACAACAACGATTTAAAAGGCACGCTGATAATGATGATGCAGCGTGGGAAATATGCAGCTCGGATGTCTGAGCGCGTCTTTTCGCACACACGCCTTTCCTGCTGCCTGTTCCACTGAACTGCACAGGTAATTTCATCGCCAGCGAAAAGAAACCAAACTGCATTTTGCACATTCCACTTGTAGCTGCACGAGAATGACATTCACCTCGACTGGAATGTCAAGGGCGTGGGGGAAAATAAGAATGCCTGAAGGATTTGAAGAGTTTGTCACCGACTGATCCAAGAAAAGACTCATGCAAATCAACAAATATTTGCTTTGTATTAAGTGTGGATCGACATAAGAATTAGAGGGTTGTTTAAGACTTGAAAATCTTGCAGAAAACGCAGTAATCTCCCTGTAAAGCAGCTGCGTTTCTTTTGTCGCATTGTGCCATTGCAGTGACTTGCCATCCATCCCCCCCCTAAAAATACACACAGCTGAAGTCGAACCATCTTCTGCCATAATCTCCTCACACGTGCACACGCACACGCACACATACAATACAAATACAATGCATGCATGTCATACACCGTGGCGGCCGCTGCAGGGCGCAGCTCCGTCACTGCGCCCCCCGAAAAAAGCACAGGAGTGGAGACGCGCAGACCGTCTCCATCCTCCGCAGTCTCCTTCTCATCCCGGCCGTCACACCACTCACTCACTGACTGACTGAGCAAACTGAGCTGACAGCAGCAGCTTCTCCATCAACACGAGGTGAGACCAGATTTCTATCTTGTGCTGTTGTTGTTTTTGTGCATTTTCATGTGCGTCAGGCTTCTTTATCAGGTGTGTTGATGGATGCGGTGATGGTGAGATGAGGGGAGAAGAGAGACTCCTGCACGGGACATCGACGCATTTTGTTTCTCCAAAGCAGCTCCGCAGGCGGCTGCAGCTTGGAAAACACTTTTAGGTTATTTATAGCTATTTTTTTTTGGGAAAAGCAGAGTGCGCAAATGTGCAGTTTGCATCATGTATGTGCGTCTTTGTGCGTGCTTGTATGTTTCATTGCATACTTGCAGGTGAGAGCTTTTTTCTTTTTTTTTTTTTTTTGTGGGTGCCTGACTTTGCCCTTCCCTCCTCCTGGCCTCATTCCAGCAGCAGCAGCAGCATGTGAATGGCGGCAGAAGGCAGCAGCAGAGTTGTCACAGAGGCGCAGGAGGAGCTCCAAACCTCCGGAGCTGTCAGCGCTCACACGCACCGCGGCGCACAACGCACCCGGAGTCACAACACAGCGCACGTCCAGCAGTTCCAGCTCTGGACGCACAGCAGCAGCACCATCACCACCACCACCACCCAGCGGCAGCAGCAGCCTCACAGAGCTCACACAAGGAGCCACCACGATCACTTCGGCGCTCCGACGCACGCAACGTACAGCCTCAGCCTCTCAGCCATGACCAAAGGGGAGCGAGGAGCGCAGGGCTCCGGGGGGAAACTCATCAAGCCCAGTGAGCCGCTGTTCCCCAAAACCTCTCACCAGGTAGGCTCAGGTGTTTCTGTGGTGCCCTTTTGGCTTTGTGGCTTGTATTGATGGAGAAAAAAAAGGAATCTCTTTAGTAGCTTATCTGTTTGTGATTAACCATTCTTTCCTCTTGTAATCCTTCCACTGATGGAGGATTCAATCATGGAAGTTGATTGTTTTCATTGTAGAGAAGTTGTTGCTCTCAATGGGGAGTCAGTTTCAGTGGAAGTTGGTGATGAATAACTGAAAAAAAAAAACCTGTCTCCTGTTATTTCAAGCTCTTTTTGTTGTTGTATTCTGTGCCCTTAAGAAGGCCACTTTGGTGATGAGAATGTTTGCGTGTTCAGGTTTGTTTCTAAAGGCCCACAGGCTCCTGGATGAAGGAAATGAAATATAGACAACCGAGTGTTTACACGGTTTACGAAGACAGATACCACATTTTGCAGAAATGCTGTCATGAAGCGATACCACGCTTGTTAGTCAGCGTTCGCTCAGAGTGTCTCAGAGGCTGCATTACATCACTCCATCCAACCAGTTCTGCAAGTGTCTCATCTGAGCCAAACCTTTATCAAATATGCAGCCTCTCTTTTTCTTTTTTCTTTTGGTTTCCTCTTTGATCCTATGGAGACTTCTTTATCTACTGACAAGACGATTTCTTTTGAAGACGACAGAAGTTTACTGAAAAATAGATTAAAATGTCGACGGAGGTGTTGAAAAGCAAACAGGTTCAGTCAGCCTGTTCAGCTCAGATCTGCTCAGAGGCATCCGCCTGTTTTAATGCATATTTCTGTCAAATGCAGGTAAATCACCACAGAAATTACGCCACAAAATGTTCAAAGCCTGACTGAGGTGTTAAAACTGGCATCAGCAGGGTTTTCCTGATGTTTTTTTATACGTAGTGAGGGGGAAAAAGTTGATAAAAATCAGCAAAACTTCTTCTTTTTTTTTCCCTGATGTGGTTTTGTAAGGAGTGACTCCACTTCACGGAAGATGGAATCACCTTTTTGAAATATTTCTGACATAGTTTGCTTCCTCTTTGTTTCTGTTCATGTCATACCGAAACCAGCTGACGTGAAGAAATGAGTTACAGCTTTCCTCACTGTGAACATTTCCTCCTTTCTGTGTCTTATAGATGGACAAATCTAAAGATATAGAAATAGAAAGATTCATTTGTCCATCTTATTTGTGGTTGTTCAGACTAATACGATCTCTCCAGAAGCAGTTTATGGAAACAAGCCTCATTTTTTTTGCGACATTTCAAAAGTTTGCTTCAAATTTGTTTGATAATCACATTTAATAAATCTGCTCTGGAAAGAATAAAATATGTGGTTGGACAGAAACATCCACCCTGTAGCTTTTCTCGACATGAAACCAACATATTTATCATCTTTCCATCATTTTTTTCAACTTGATGCTGTTTTACAGTGTAGATCTTCCCTGAAAGACCACGAAAGGAATCTGATGTGTGAGTAACATGAAGCACGTCTGAGGGGAACTTTACAGATGTGTGAGTTTTTGCTGCTTTGTAGGCGAGACTAAATAGTAGATCTATAATTAGTAGTGAGGAAATTGCCGCAGCAAATTCCATCTGACCACAAAAGTGCAGCTCACAGAGCTTTGTCACTGAAGCACATTCACACACCTGAACATGGAGCATTTTTAAAGATGTCCTCTGATGAAAACCTGTTTTTTTTTTTTGTTCATATGGTGTGTTTTTTTTACAAGCTAGAGGATATATCATAACCAAAATAAGCAGCCAACACCGTGGCTGAGCATTCCTGCCTGCAGAATATCGACAGCAGTCTCAAAAACACAGATTTCGGAGGTTTTAACGAATTTAAGAAATCAGTTATTGTATTTTGCAGGGTGATGCTTTCTGTATCCGTCGTCAGAATCAGTTTCAAATACGTCTGCCTCAGTTAGTTTGATATTGCAATATTTTCTAGTGCAGTTTTGCAAATCAGAGTCATGGGTGAGCTGGTGTGCTCGAGCTGCAGCAGTAACACAGAAAGTAGAGTGTAGAGTTACATTTAAGCCAATTTAATGGTTAAAAAGACCCTCTAAATATGTAATTATGTTAAACTGAAATGAGTTTTTAGGGTCTAAATGAAAAGAGTGACTTCAGCAGAAGGAATAAAGACCTTGTCCTTCTTTACATTTTGGATTAAACGTGAATTACACACTACAGGAGCTTCGTGTTAATACCGACGTTGGGGAAACTGGCTTTTAATTAATATGCCCCGCATAAGTAGCACCTATTCCCCTTTAATCCGTTTAAATCCCTTTTGACTGACATGGAGCAGCGTGAATGCGTCTAATTTCCCTGAGTTAATGTCGTCCTTCATGTCTGTATATGTGCTGTAGCTACAGTGTGCTGTGTGATTGTAGATGTTGTCATCAGATTTGCTCTCTGTGGCTTTTCTAGCTTAAATGTCAAAGGTCAAGAAGAAAAAGAAGATTTTGAATTGATTTCGAGGGAGGTCAGCTGATTATTCAGCCTTTTTCTCATTATCGGTATCCTTTGTTTTGTTCGAACAAATTCTCGATGAAGTAAATTGATTTTTTTAATGCGCTGCTGCTTTGGCTCAGATCCACCTACGAGCTCTGTGTGACTGCTCGTCTGTCACCAACAGTCTGTCAACGCTGGAAAATACATGTTGTAAAGTCTCTTTTAATTAAATATAGATAAAACTAACATAGGCATTAAAGTGGAGTTTTGTGTTAGAGTCTGTGTTATTCTACATTTTAACACAAACATTTAATATTAAAATCATACATTTTGACTCCTGCACTGTTAAAAAAAAACAAAAAAGATTGTTAAAAAAATTAACACTTTTAAATTTGATTTTACTCGATATTGTCAGTAATTTAACAAAACAGGAAAAATTTGTAAAAATTACAATCAAAAATATATCTATACGACATTTATATGCTATTTTTACATAATTTACTTCAAAATTACTGCAAATATGTGCAAAATAACTTTTTTTTACTGATTTATGTGCAGAAAAAAGTGTAATTTTATAGTTAAACATTATAAAAGGAATACATTTTTTAAAAGTACAGAGTTTGTGGACTTTTTTACAAAAACAGTTTTGATCATTTTTTTCATAGTTAGCACTTAAATAAATACTTTCTTCTGTGATTTTACTAGATATTGTCTATATTGGAGCAAAATTGGGAAAATCTACTTTTTAAAAAAAGTAAAAAACATGAAAATATCATTCGTTAATTCTTAATATAAATAGTTTTTCTTTAAAATAAATGCAAATATCTGTATAATAACAATATTTTTACTGATTTAAATACAGAAAAGTGTAATTTTACAGTCAAAGTCAAGTTGTTCAAAGCAAAAAGATTTTTCATGCTGACATTTTTTACAATTTTGTCCCGTTTTTTACACTCAACATGTCAATTTATACATTTTCCATGATTTTTACCAGCTATTCAAACAAATGACAATAAAAAAATCATGATTTTACAGTGCAGTTTTGACATTTGAAGGACTCGCGGTGGCCGTCGCTGACATAATCAACCTTTCCTTTCATGCTCATCATCTTTCATACATAATCCATAATCTGAACCGAGGCTGTTGTCGACTCGCGTGGCTGTAATCTGCGCTTCGACCCCGATACCCAGAATTGTCAGAAAATCCTTCGCTCTGCATCTGAAGTCTCATTTTTT